CTGTGGCAGGCAGCTGATAATCCAACAATAATAAACAAAGTGTCAACAGTCTATCAGGGCAAAGAGAAGCGTGGCCTGGGCACCAAAAGGCCAGCTCTGTCTTTCATTCTTATGTTGAAACCATTACTTCTCAAGGTAGACAACAGTAGCTAAATCTGTATTCATAGTTGTTATTGCTTCAGCTAATGAATTTATGCCTTGACTGTATCTGGAGAAAGATGTCTGTTGGCATTCATATTCATCTAAGTTGTTCGGCTAGTGCAGGACTCAACAGAGGTACACTACCATTCAAAAGTTTTGGGTCAGTAAGATTTTTTTTTTGTTTGTTTTAATTTTTGGGAAAGTATTTATTAGCTGAGGAGTAATGGCTACTGAAAATTCAGCTTTGCCATAATTTTGAATTATATTTTTAAAATAGAAAACAGTTATTTTCAAATGTAATAGTGGTGAGCAGAAGAGGCTTCTTTCAAAAACATTTAAAAAATCAGAACTCTTTTCAACTTTTAAATGGTAGTCTATGTGATTGTGTAAACTTAAGAACCATCTTAATTTCAATTTAATGAGATGACGTGAATTTAATTGGCCATATCCCAGAGGAAGTTAAGTTGGAATTTGAACTTTATTTTAAGGTCCAGTTCTCGCTATTAACAAACCACTAACTATGAATTTTACCTCAATAAACTCCTAATTTGCTACTTACTAATAAGGTAGTTGTTAAGTTTAGTTATTGGGTAGGATTGGGTATGTAGAATATGGTCATGCAGAATATGTGCTTTATAAATGCTAATAAACAGCCAATCTGTTAATAATAGGCATGCTAATAAGCAACTAGTTAATAGTGAGAATTGGTCCATATCCTAAAGTGTTACCAAAATTACAGATGTGTGAATTTCAATTCATTTTAATTCAACTAACATTTACATTCAAACTGCAGTTCTGCGTCCTGTTTGTTTCCGCAATTCGAATTCAGGAATTGAATTGGAATTTAAAGGGCATCCTCAATGTTTTTTGAGCCACTTACCTGAGTCAAAATTACCAGGCGACTAAAAACTCTAGAGCAGAAAGAAAATGACGTCATGTTTCTGAAAGAGCTTTCAGAATCACTCTTCCTCGTGCTCAGGAATAGCTCTGTATAAAAAACGTCTGAGAATGTAAATTAAACCAAATGATCCGGGACTGTGCCTGTCCTTGAAAAGAGAATAGAGAAGAAGAATATTACAACTTAAAATGACAAACACATTCCCAACCAGTGACTGTTTTGCATTCAAATGCAGCCAAGCTTTTAAGCTTTATTTTGATGTCTGTCTCCGTAACATTCAACATGGCTGCCTTTCTCTTGTCTCATTTGTTCTATAGTAATAAAAGATTATGTTTGACTGATGCTCACGGTACCCAGAGGGAAGTTGCCTCTCTGCAGATGTGTTGCAACACCTCTGACCTAATATATGCCTCGTTCTCCCAGATTCTAGATGGGCAGTCTCACTCACAAGCTGAAAATTAAACACCAGTGATGAAATGAGTGCTAAAATATTCAAGGTGTTTTTTACGGACTTGCCTAAGTGGTTTCCCTCTATCTTTATTTCCCCTTGGAGGGAAAAAAACATAACAGCAAATAAATAATGTACTGCATATTAGATAACTTTCTAGCATGCACAAACAACTGAAAGCTTTTCGCAAAGATTTGTCTGTTGTGTTTGTCTCTGTTATGTCTCCATTTCACATGCTTCAGTGTCTCTCAATAAACCAAGTAGGCATGGGCCGGTATGATATTTTGACGGTATGATAACCTTAAGCAAAAATATCACGGTTTAACGGTATCACTGTATTGTTGTTACAGCTCTAAAATGTGTTAATTTTAAATGTCTGGGTACAAAAAAAAACTGAACAATATATTTTGAGCAACATACAGAATATTTGGAACAGTAGCGTTTGTTTATTTTTTCTTTGATTTGTTTCTGAAATGTGGGCTGTCCTGCAGCTTTTGATGTGGATGGTTGATTTGCTGCTAGAGCTTCTGCTGCCCTAAAAAGAAGAAAAATAAAGACTGACATCTTTATTTAACCTAAATCTGTAATTACAGTTCATTTTAGTTATATAATTCATATACATATCATTTAGTTATATAATTTCATATACATAATTTGATTTAATAATAACCCAATTTGACGCAAAAACAGAATGTTCTGACTAGTTTTGTGAAATTATACTACATGCCTGCAGGGCCGCATTAACCATTGGGCTTGGCGGGACTGAAGCCCGGGGCCCGAGCAAGGAGGGGGCCCGTGATTGGCTGTGGAGTAGATTGACGGACATCGGTAGCGCCGATTGCAAAAAACCCACCACGCCCTTCACTTTTTAGCGCTATTATTTAGTGGAGTTTTCCGTAAATTCCATGCATTACCATTAGAGATTAAAACGTCACATTTGAATTTGTTTTACCAATCAAATGCATTTATTATATATTTTACACGTAGCATATCTATCAGGTGATCGCTGCGCCTAATGTCTGCATTCACGTCTCTTCACTTAATTCTGGTGTAATCTAGAAACGGTCATGCAAAGAGCAATCTTTGATATCGATAAGTAAAAATGTCAACTATTCTAAAAAAAAAAAAAAATAGTGAGAGAAAAAAATTAGGAGAGAGGGGATAAACATGAATTAGTCACTAAAATCCACAGCTAGTTTATTTTACTAAAGCTGATGATGGAGTGGGAGTTGTGGAACCGCAAATGGACCGGACACATGAGCAGATAAAAACACCCACAAAAACATCATCCCCACAGATTTTAGGTTAGTTTGATTATTAACTTGATAGATGTAGCTATAGTGCTTTTTGTGTTTGAACAAACTCTATAGGGCTAGTATATTCGCTTATGGGTTGAGAAATTCATTTTGCGCGTTCTGATATAAGCTTTTCATTTAAACGCATTTTAAGCATTTTGGTTTAAAAACTAATTTAACTGTTCAGGAACATTAAGCAGTGGCAGAATTCATTTTGGCAAATGCGCGCGTTAAGACGTTTTCTGATACTTGCTCGTACAGCACCTGACTAAACTAAGAGTTATTTTTCGCGATTTTGTGTTTAAACGTTCGAATACACATAGTTATGTGTCAAAATGCCTGTCTCCTCGTCAACACAGTTATTTGTGTCTTACATTATATGATGAGATTTTAAAGGGATATTCACCCAAAAATTGTAATACTGTCTTCATTTACTCAGTTTCAAGTTGTTCTGAACCTGTATGAATGTCGTTGTTCTCCTCAACATAAAATATATTTTTAAGAATATTCGTAACCACCAGAAAGTTTCTGGTCCCTGTTGACTCCAATAGTGTTTTTTTTCTCTCAAAAAGGGCACAGACACTGTTTGGTTACCAGTATTGTTCCAAATACATACGTTTGCATTCAACAGCAGAATGAAACTCATTCAGGTTTAGAACAACAACAATATAACTTTAATTTTTGGGTAAACTATTCCTCCAAAGCAGCCTAATATAGCTGCTCTTGCCATTTGTGTCAATAATAATAATGTATTTATACAGTGAAGACTATTCAGTCTATTTCTAGTCTATTTATTTTATACAATATATTTCTTATTTCTTACTTTAAGTGTTTGTAGGTCAATTTCTTTGTTCTATAGTAATGCATGACTGTTTACTTGTCTTCAGTAAGTTTGTTTTTACATAGGCTAGTATTTTTTTATTTTGAGATATTGGAATTGGTAACAAGAATTATGAAACTTTGATTGGATAAAAATCCTATCTTAAGCTATATTATTACTGTGAGGGGGGGGACCCCATTGAGGTCTTAATGTGGCCCTGGCTACAGTGGTTACTGTTCTCTAATTTTAATCACTGTGTTTTCCACAAAATAATGTTTTTTTTTTTTGTTGTTGTTGTTGAAATTTTCTGGTTATTTTGTAAAATATGTTAGTAGAACAGTGGTATACCAAAGCTAATATTCCTTCAAATTTTGAGTCATGAAGAATAACAATATTTCAGAAAGAAATCAAGTATGTATAGATTGTTCTCTAATTTTGATCTCCGCTGTACATATTTTATCCAGACCTATCACAAATGGCAATACTTGCAAAATTCCATATTCATTGGCTTTTCATACTTATTTATGTTTTAGCAATTGTGTTTGTTTCCTCATTCTGCTTACCTCAGGTGACCAAACTTGTGAAAAAGGTAGGTGAAGGGGGAGTAATTACCTATGAAATAAATAAAAGGTAACACTTTATATTATAGTGTCCTTGTTACACACAGTTAGTATAGTAATATAACAGTAAATGATGAATAATTACTACCCC